AAGCAGACTCCCTGCCGAGCAGGGAGCCCGATGCGGGACTCGATCCAGGGACTCCAGGATCATGACCTGAGCCGAAGGCAGTGGCTTAACCAACTGAGCCACCCAGGCGCCCCCTTTAATACTGATTTTTAAAAATAAAATTATTACAAGCCTTTTCCCCCCAGCTTTATTGAGAAATAATTGGCATATAACATTGTATACGTTTATGGTGTATAACCCAACATTTTTATTTTTTATTATTTATTTATTTATTTATTAAAGATATTATTTATTTATTTTTAAAGATTTTATTTATTTGACAGAGAGAGACACAGCCTGAGAGGGAACACAAGCAGGGGGAGTGGGAGAGTGAGAAGCAGGCTTCCCACCGAGCAGGGAACCCGATGTGGGGCTCCATCCCAGGACCCTGGGATCATGACCTGAGCCGCAGGCAGACGCTTAATGACTGAGCCACCCAAACGCCCCAGACTTTACTTATTTATTTGACAGAGAGAGAGCAAGCACAAGCAGGAGGAGTGGGAGGCAGAGGGAGATGGAGAAGCATACTCCCTGCTGAGTAAGGAGCCTGATTTGGGGCTCAATCCCAGGACCCTGGGATCATGACCTGAACCGAAGGCAGATGCTTAACCAACTGAGCCACCCAGGCGCCCCAACTCAACACTTTAAAACATAACCCTGGGGAATCTAGATGCCACAGGAATTTGGTATTCAGTATTTGATATAAAAAGGAGAGAGCTTCCTGCTCAGCACCACTCCCCCTGCTTGTGTTCTCTCTCTTGATGTCTCCCTGTCAAATAAATAAGTAAACAAACAAAAAATAAAGGAGAGAGCAGATTGTGCCAATACTATTTGAAATTTTACATTGTTTCTTCTTATGTTTGAATTCGTGTATCTATTTTATCTCCCCCACAGAACTGTATCGTAATGTAACATTTCATTAACCATCTTGTCATGCTTTTCATGCTTTGCTGCATTGAAAATACAATGTTTATATAAATTGGAATTATTTTTTATTTCTTGTGAGCACATGGCTCTAAAATGCGCAATTTTACAGTCTCCAGTAATCTTTTAGTAAAAATAAGTGAAAGTGATCCATTATAGGTTAGACTAAATGTTCAAGAAAAAAAGAAGGGGGACACCAAGGATCATGAGTTACTTAAGGAAAATCTTTATTTTGAAAGAGACCAAAATAAAACAAACAGTAGAAAGAATAAAGGAACAACATTGCAATCACTGAAATAATTTAAGCTATAAAAAAAAACATTCCTAGAAGAGAAATTTAAACTTTGTTAGGTACAGTTGAGGAATTTTCCAAGAAAATAGAATAAACAGATAAGAGTAGGAAAATGGAAGAGAAAAGATGAAAAGAAATTGGAGAATTTGCCCAGGATGTCCAACATCTGGTTATTTCCACAAGGCGCAGTAGAGAAAATGACGGGGAGGAAATAATGTGAATAATTTTTCGGTCGTGAAGAACATAAATTTCGAGATTGGCAGGACCTTTCAGTGGTGTGCTAGCACTGACTCCTACTGGCTCATGAGAGCCAGTTTATTAAGCTTTCAGGGATCTTTGCAAGCTATTGCTAAATGCGGTCGTTATTAAAAATGAATTATTTCGGGGGCGCCTGGGTGGTTCAGTTGGTTAAGTGTCTGCCTTCGGCTCAGGTCATCATCCTAGAGTCCTGAGATTGAGCCCCACGTTGGGCTCCCAGCTCAGTGGGGACTCTGCTTCTCCCTCTCCCTCTACTCCTCCCCTGCTCATGTTCTGTCTTTCTCTCTCTCTCAAATAATTAAAATCTTTAAAAAAAAATCATGTCCTTAATTAAAAAAATTATTTTGTAGTTACTTTACTGTTTATGCTTTTGAGTGTATTTGTATCTATTTTATCTGTATGGTGAAAATACTATCTAGTTAAGCACTACTGCTCATCTTTCAATAGCCCCACATTCAGCGATGTCACATTGGTACCTTGAAATTGGCCATAGCAGTAGGATTTACAGCACAGAAAGTGGCAAGTGCTGCAAATCATGGCTTTTGTCCCCAGATATATAATTATTAAATCTTTATTAGCTCCATCAACTACCTAATGAAAAAAAGACCCATACTGAAGCATATCATCATGAAATTTTGGAACATTGAGGGGGCACCTGGGTGGCTCAGTGGATTGGGTGTTCGACTCTTGATTTTGGCTCAGGTCATGGTCTCAGGGTCATGGGATCAAGCCCCATGTTGGGCGCCATGTGGAACCTCTTTAGGATTCTCTTTCTCCCTCTCTTTGCCCCTTTCCCCCCACGGTCTATCTCTCTCTCTCTAAAATAAATAAATCTTTTAAAAATGAAGTTTTGGAACAGTGGGGAGAAAGAGAAAATTGTAAAAACTTGTATAAAGAACATACATTTCACATGTTAAAAAATAAGCCATCAGATAGCTTGAAGCCAATAAAATCATGCCTTCAGGATTCTGTGGAAAAAATGATTTCCAGTCTAGAATTTTATATCCAATAGGGTGGAACAAAGACCTTTTCAGATGTGAAAGTTCTCAAAAAATTACCTCTCCTATACCTTTTCTAAGGAAGCCTCTGGAAAATAAACCACAAAAGCATGGTACAGGAAATAGCCTGAAACTATGTAGTTGGGGGGAAGCTGATGGTTTAGGAAAAGGTGGGGAGGAATTGATTAAGTGTAGGAGAGGTTGTGGGACCTAGTACTGGAGGTGCTGGAAGGATAATCTCTATGAATTTAGGAGTGCCCATGAATTGAAGAGAGGCATAACTGGGCAGAGTGACAGTGAGCCAGGAGTTAAACGCCAGAGGACGTCCCAGGGATAACTGCTTCATGTTTTTGTCAGTGAGGAGCACGGAGAGTGGAGCTGGTAGTGCCTCTGGGGAAGATGAACTGCTTCAACCTAGAGATTGTTGTGGAGGCTGTGACTTATGATCATCATGCAGCCGTGGGCCAGCCCCCATCATTTGAAGCCAGTGAGCTAGGCAAGGCAGAGTGTGGATTATGAGAGGTAGTACTAGATCTTGGCTGAAAAGGAGCTGAAAACCAGAGAGCCCACAGTCTTTGATTCCAGCTCATCCAAAGGGAAAGAAAGAAGTTCTCTTTGGCCCAAGATTTAATTTTATGATTTACACTGAGGCTGTGAAAATTACTGTCAAGAGGAGTAATAGAAAAGCAGTACTGAGAGCTAGGCTTTCTTTGGGGGAAACTGAGAACTGTTGATTTCCGTCCAATATCACAGGTTAATGGTGAAGACAAAAATCAGAACCCATCTCATCAAGCTTTCTAGCCTCCACAAAGTTGGGAACGTTCAAGTTTTTAAATTTTTTTTTTTTTTTTAATATTTTATTTATTTGCGAGAGAGAGAATGAGAGACAGAGAGCATGAGAGGGAGGAGGGTCAGAGGGAGAAGCAAACTCCCTGCTGAGCAGGGAGCCTGATGTGGGACTCGATCCCGGGACTTCAGGATCATGACCTGAGCCGAAGGCAGTCGCTTAACCAACTGAGCCACCCAGGTGCCCCAAGTTTTTAAATTTATTTCATTAGTTTTCATTCCATTAATTTCAGGGATGAAATGTTATATTTTCTCCCTGGATTAAAAATACTATTTTCCCCTTGAATTTTAAACCATACGATATGCTTTAAAAAAAAAAACAAACCATACAATATGCTTTGATATAGAGATTTTTAAAAATATATTACTGATATTTGACATTCTTTTTAAGAAGCTATGGGAAAGTGAAAAGATTAAAATCAAATGTGATTACACAAACACAATTATCATTTTGATATATTTCTTTGTCTTTTTTTAGGCCTGAATTTTTTTTTTTTTTAAAGATTTTATTTATTTGACAGCGAGCCAGAGAGCACAAACTGGGGGAGCGGCAGAGGCAGAGGGAGAGGGAGAAGCAGGTTCCCTGCTGAGCAGGGAGCTCGATGCAAGGCTCTATCCTAGGACTCTGGGATCATCCCCTGAGCTGAAGGCAGACGCTTAACCAACTGAGCCACCCAGGCACCCCTTTTTCTTTGTTTTTTAATCATACTGTGTAGACAGAATGTAGCCTGTTTCTTTTACTTACCATTATGATAAACATTTTCTCTGTAACTGTGTAATCTTTGAAAATTACAGTTTTCCAGTAGGTTTTTAATTTTCCATATATTTATCATTATCATAAACAGTGCTGTATTGAATGTGCACAGAGATTTTTCTGCATGTGGGATTGCTTCCTTCGGGTAAATTTCTAGAAGAGTAGAAATACTTGGTCAAAGGGTATTAAATTTAGTATTCATGACAGTTGTGAGAAAAAATTGCTCTCTTGTTATTATTACTAAAAGTAAGTGAGATACGTGACTCTGTGTCCATGTTCCTGGTCTTTGGATACCGATGTTTCTGTGGGAGTACAGGCAGCTAGCTCCGAGACTTGAAACGAGGGATAAGGAATTTATCGAAAGTTTTGATGAAAGTTGGCTTATAACTGATCCCAAGAAGAGTCAGAGAGAGGCTGCTCTTCTCCATGGGATTCTCTGCGCTCTGTAACTCCTTTCTAATGCTGAGGCTGTTATTTGGGGGAAGTAGATTTGAGTATCAGAAGTGTTGTCATAGAATAGTTACACTCATTTTAAGCTTGTTTGGAGAGTCTTTGTTAACTTTTCTAAAGTAATTTAATGTTCCCACTTCAAATTCTGTTTTCTGAGAATATTTTTTTTTTTTTTTTAAAGATTTTATTTATTTATTTGACAGAGAGAGACACAGTGAGAGAGGGAACACAAGCAGGGGGAGTGTGAGAGGGAGAAGCAGGCTTCCCGCGGAGCAGGGAGCCCGATGCGGGGCTCGATCCCAGGACCCTGGGATCATGACCCGAGCCGAAGGCAGCCGCCCAACCGACTGAGCCACCCAGGCGCCCCTGTTTTCTGAGAATATTTGTAGCCAGGCAGATTTGGGATGTGTGAGAGTTCTGACTTCCTTCACTATCTAGATTTCTATTTACAGAATGAGTTGTTTTTAGACATGTTTTATCAATTTAAAATCCAAGGCAGCTTTGCGTGCCTGCTAACGCAGCCTTCCTCACTGGTGCTTTCTTTTAGGTTTAAAGACACTATTGTAAATGCCAAGTACGGAGGGCACACAGAGGCAGTGCGCCGGCTGCTGGGCCAGCTCCCCATCAGTGCCCAGTCTTACAGCGGTAGCCCCTACCTTGATTTGTCTCTCTTCAGCTACGATGACAAGTGGGTGTCTGTCATGGAGCGACCCAAGACTTGTGGAGATCACCCTATCAGGTACACCATCACTGCTTCAGCTGCTAACTGCCTAAGGGCTAAAGATGGCCCGCTTTCTCTCTCTCTCTCTCCTTGGACCTCATTCCACTGTGACTGTGCCCACTTGTACTCATGGGTTGAATTGGAAGGACAGGCTGTTTCTATAATGTGGTGAGTGCTTTTGATCATGTAGGCACTAGGCTCATAAATTAAGTAGTTCTGCTCTTTGCTTCTCGTCAAAACATCCAATTCAGATAAGTGTTGTTCCTTTTTAAAGGTATCCAGGGTAGGAAAGCACACACCATTTCGTAGTAGTGTTTATAGTTGAGACTTTCTAATTTTATTTCACTCAAATGATTTTATCCCCTCATGTTATTTAGTAGAAAAGATAGCAGAGATAATTTGGGGGAACAGGCAGGTTTTGGAGAAACTCCTGCTTCCTCACTTGAGAAATTTTGGAGTGTAGACTACTGTGTTATTGCTAGAACCTTGAAAACTAAGCAGTCCTTCCCTCACAAATGTCCACTCCACAGACCCCCCCTTCTCTCCGTTTTGGGAGCTTGTGTTGTGCTGTGTGCTGTGTTAGGTCCTAGGGAGAGGACCTGGTACCACCACCACCCATGGGGTGATTTCAGGGGAGGTGTGGTCCTGGAACCCTTAGCTGGAGAGTGGAAGGCCTTTTTCACATGGGAACAGTGGTGGGTAGTGTTTCATGATCCAGCTTCATTGTGTATTAAATAGGCTTGTGTAACACATTCTAAACAGTTAATCACCGCTCATGGTATTTCCTTTGGGAAATTGCAGCCATGTTCCAAAAACCAGTTAATTTTTTTTTTAATTATAGAATTTATTTATAAATTATAAATATATAAATTAATTTTTTTTAACATATAAAACGTGGAAGAGTATAATGAACCTGCACGTACCCATCACCCAGTTTTAACAGTTATCAACTCATGGTCAATGTTGTCATCTCTTTCCATCCACTCCCCACCCCCCCAACTGCCACCCTTGATTATTCTGAAGCAAATCTCAGATTTTATAACATTTTACTTATAGATATTTCGGCATGAATTTCTAAAAAATAAGGACTTAGAAAAATAAAACCTCCATACCATTATTCTGTCTTAAGAAAATTATCAAAACTTTATGACGACCACCAAGTACCTAGTTTTCACATTTTACTGTTGTCTTGTAAATATCCTTTTTATGGTTCCATTTGTTCCCATCAGGATCATACATTGCATTTGGTCGCTACTCCCTTAAGTCCATTTTATCCTATAGGTTCTGCTTCCCTCTTATGTTCCTGGCAGTGAAATTGTCCTGTAGTGTTGCCCACATTCTGGAGTCTGCTCACTGCATCCCTGGAGGAGTATTTACGATTTCTCTCATCCTCGCACATTTCCTGTGAACTGGTAGTTAGATTTAGAAGCTCAAACAACCCACTTTACCTTACAAGCCCTTTGTGTGTTGGGGACTGTGTGGGTAAGGTGACTGTGGTTTTCACACATAAAAGCATATCACGGGCCTCGTTTGATATTGTCAGGGTAGCATGAGATACATTCCTCTCCTTTCTAACCTGCCTTTCTAGTTTGAAAAGAGAGTAACCTAAGTAACAAATTTGGGAATGCCTATTGCCGCTGACTAAAGGGGTTTTTCACTTATTTTTAATTTAAAATGAGAAATGTGCGGATACTAAAGGCATTGGAAGAGGAAATGCCATGACTTGAACACCTGTATTGTATGTTCCATTCTAGTCTTTGTCAGTACACATGTTCACATGGACATTGTTGTAATCCTGGTTAGCGTCGTTCTTTGTAGCCTGCTTTTTTGTGTGTGTTGTTACATAGTCCTCAGAGTTACAGTCCTAATGACAGCATGTTATTCCCTCAGTTAGATGTACCGCAGTTGACTGAACTAGTCCCCTGTCACTGAGCCTTTATTCTCCTGCATTTTTACATGGGAGCTGTGCTGGAGTTGCTGTCTTTATCCATATCACTCTGTCCTCCATTTAAATTAAATTCTGAGGATATAAATTCATGGAACTGGGATTATTGAGCCAGAGGCTATGAATATCTTTATATCTGCCATATGTTTGCTTTCCAAAAGGGAAGTTATAGACCTCTCTAATTCAGAGCTCTTCATTTTCTAGGACTTCCCTTAATTCAGCCCCAACCCCTGAACATCTCTAGTTCCTGATACCCAAGGACGCTTATTTTGCGTATGGGAAAATGTCTTTAAGTATGGGGATGAATGGAAGTATTAGATGAAAAATGAAGAACTACTTAGTATTTTGTTTTTGTGTGTGAAAAAGAAGGACCTTCCGAAAGAATCTATTCTTAAAAATGAAAAACTCAAATATGGGCCAAGATCTGCGCTGTCCAGGATAGTAACCACTCACCACTTGTGGTTGTTAAGCGCTTAAAATGTGACCAGTCTATATTGAGATGTGCTCACGTGTCACACATCAGATTTCAAAGGCTTAATACAAAAAACAAATGTGAAATACCTCATTAATTTTTTTTTTTTACCTGGATTATAGGTTGAAACAGTAATAGTTTAGATACCAGTATTGGGTTGAATAAAATATATTACTAAAATTAATTTCACCTTTCTCTTTTTACCTTTTTTAATGTGGCTACATGGAAATTTAAAAGTATACACGTGGCTTGCATTTCATTTCTAGCCTGGCCTAGACAGTCTCGGGGCAGCTTTTCTGGAAAAGGATAGGCTGTAGTTAAGGCCGTGACTAAGGGTCATCTTGGGAAAGAGAAATGACCCAGTGATTCAGGACAGCGCAGTAAAATTCATAATGCCCCTGTGCATAAAATGAGTTGCTCAGACGAAGGCGGTTTTGCATTTCTGGTAACCTGGGGCTGATATAAGAGGAGATACTGTAAGATTAAATAACGAGTTGCTGCATTCCCGTGCTGTGCAGATTCCCAGATGGTGGTGAATATCTATACCATCTTCTCTTTCTCTCCTTGTTCTGTTCAGGTTCTATGCCCGGGACTCTGGTCTGCTCAAGTTTGAGATCCAGGCAGGCTTACTGGGCCGCCCCATCAACCACACAGTGCGACGCCTTGTTGCCTTCACCTTTCACCCGTTTGAGCCTTTTGCTATTTCGGTGCAGAGGACTAATGCTGAGTATGTTGTCAACTTCCATATGCGACACTGCTGCACGTAGGTGCCTCACCAAAGCCCAATTATCTGGTCTTCCAAGACCTTGCCCCCCGCTTATCTCGGTGGACTCTGAAGCAAGAGCTCCTGGCTGCCAGCTTTGTTGGTTCCAGACTGTGGTGCCTCACATGGGGAGAGCCAGAGAGAGGAGCGAGGGGTGGCTCAGCTTAATGGAATTGTTATGGTCTCCAACTACTGATTGATTGAAAATCCTCTGGTCTTTTCCCTGTGGGAATGTCCAGCATTAATTAAGTCCATTTAATTTTTGTCTTATTTTGCATTTTGTTGCTATGAAGATGAGAGCATTACCCCGTTCCCCTTGGCGTCCGTTCTTTGGCATTATGGTATATGCAGTCTGAAGCAGGGATGTCTTGTTGACTCACGGGAACTGTGCACGTCCTTCCATGTGGCCGACAACAGGGCTGTCTTTATATTAAAAAAAAGAATAATAAAGCCTTGGTATTTTCTTACTTAGATATATCCCGTTTGATGATTGCCTTATGTCCTGATCTCACCGAATGCTTTTCACCTCTGTGGGTTCCGGGACGGACTGTGAAAGGGGCTGGAGGCCGTGGCTCCCGCAGCCACCCTGGGGAGAACTTAGTGGTGTGTGCCAGTGTGGAAGAGCCTTTTCGGCCAGGACTGTTTCCTTCCCTGGGGTTTTCTCCTGGTAATTGTTACAGCTGGAGGAACTGGGCATAATTGCACATTGTCATGAGGAAGCATGCTCCCATCTGTACCGTCTGTGTCATGCGGGTGGAGGAGTGAGCAGTTCTCTTTGGCCACAGCACATACAGACGCTGTGTAGCACGTACCGCGACTGGGGAGAGAGCCGGCAGGCTCCTGGCGTCGCCGAAGACGTCAGACCGGTTGTTCCTGGACGACCGAGCCATCACAGCTCCTGCAGACACCTGCTGGGCCCCGGCCCACCTCCTTCTGTACGGTCTCAGCCGGTGTCCTCCAGCGGCCTGGTCAGGCTGTTTATGTTTCATTTGCGTAATGTATCCACCATTTATGTAGTAAGCTTGTTCAGTAACCTCTGACTTTGAAAGCAGCCTCGAAATGTTGGGTTTCAGAGCAGGTTGTGAAAGGTGCTATGGATGCAGATGGATTCTGTATCCCTCTGACATTCCTTGGGAACATGACAAATGTGGTGTGAGACACTGAGCCCCACTAAAAGCAGTTCAGCTCATTTCATCATCTTCGGTATTGAACAGCTAAATTCACTCTCATTCAGCATTCAACACAGGATTTGAGCACCTAGTATGAGTCAGGTAGATGCTGTGCTCTGATGTGGAGGATAAGGAGAGAAATAGAGAATTTTAATGCAGTACGGCCAAAGCCCCTATAGCGGTTGTCTGGGAATGGTGGAGGAGGATGAAGGAGAGATGGAGAAGGAAAGCTCTTCTGGGGAAGGGACACTGGAACTGGATAAATGGGAGTGTGTCGTGTGAACCAGGGCCGAGGACAGACGTTTCAAGGAGAGCTCCAGCATGCCCAAAGGTGTAGAAGCATGAAAAGGGCTGTCAGGGCTGTGGAATGGTAAATAACAGGGCTGCGGCACGAGCTGTGGGGGAGGCCAGGGGAATGTGGCTGAATCGTGAAGAAGAGTCTTGTGCGTGGTGCTAGGATTTTGTGCAGTGGAAGAACTAATCCGAATTTCACAAAGACCGTGTTTAGCAGTCCGGAAGTCAGGGGCACTAGAGACTGGAAATAAGCCGACAGGCCTGTAGGTGGCAATCCAAAGGAGAACGGGAGGGTTAGGATGACATCCCTGGGCGGCATCGGGAAGGGTGAAATACTGAGGCATCCTCCTAGATTCTTTGTAGGTCATAACAAAATCAGGGTCCCACAGCAGTCACGTTTGTGGGGCTCAAGGAATCTTTCTTTGTAGACGCACTTTACCTGCAGCTTTGTCTTTGTACTGGGTCGATCAGTTGTGCCTGAGGGACTCGCAGCGTGGAAAGAGCACGGAGTGTGAAGTCACTTGGGCCTCAGTGTGAATCGCCGCCTTCCTGCCCATTAGTCTGTGACCCTGGGCCCATTTCCTCGCCTTTTTGAAGCTCAATTTGTGCTTCCCTCCACCTTACTCATCCACTCCCCTGTTCGTATCTTTCATTACGTCTGACTACTGAGCAGTCCTCATACACCCTCCTCGTCTGTTTATTTATGTCCTGATCTCACCGAATGCTTTGACACCGAATGCTGCTTGACACCTTCATTTCTCTTCACAACTCCTCCTCCCATTTCTCATGATCACCTTGCCCCCCACTCCGTGACAGAAATAGAAACAGGTGGGAATTCCCTTATCTTTCACCATATCAACCACGTGACTTGGCATGTGCGCTCCTTCCCTGCCTTTCCTCCCGAGTGAAGTAGCCCTGCTTCTATAGCATGCCAGCTCCTCCACCTGCTCACTGAATCCTGTCTCTTTTTGACTTCTCCATGTCTTCGCTCCGGCGATGATTCTTTCCTGCATCTTCCTCTTGATAGGTCATTCCTGTCAGCACGTTAGATACCCTCCAGGATCTTCTTTCGTTAAAACCTCCTGCTTTGGCCTCTTTTCCCCCGTTAGTTACCGCCCATCTCTCTGTTACCCTTCACAGAAAAACTTCTCAGGAGAGTTGTCCAAATTAAACGCTGTCACCCCACCACGTTCCATTTTTCCTCTGCCTGTTCCACATAGGCCTCAGTCCTCCCACTCCACTGAAACTTGTGTCCAAGTGACTCCAGGTGCCAATTCTGCGCTCACCCCTTTCCCTCTCATACTCAGCCTCCCGACATTGGGCATAACTCATTTCTCTCTCTATCAAGAACCACTTGCTTCTCTTGGTTTCCAGGACAGTACGTGTTTCTGGTTTTCTTCCTGCCTTGCTGATTGTTGCTTCTTGGCCCTGTGCTGGCTTCTCTTCTTCAGTTCTACGTGTAGGTACTAAGTGCCCCAGCCCTTGGCCTTGGATCCTCACTTCATTTCCTCTGTCTGTAATTTCTTTAATTGATCTCTTCCATTCCCCAGGTTTTAAATTCTAGCTATATGCTGATGTGTCTCAAAATTATAACTCCAGCCCTGACCCCTCCCTTGATCTCCAAATTCCTATATCCCGTGGCTTACATGGCATCTTCATTTGAATATCTAATAGGTGTTTCAAAACCAGCACATCCAAAACAGTGCTCTTGATTCCCACCGCCACCCCCCCAACCTGTTTTTCTTTCAAGAACTACCATATGGCTTCAGTGTCTACCTATTTACTTCAGGCAATAACTTAGGAACTGTTTTCAGTTTTCCTTTTTTCCCATCCCCTTCCTCTCCCCACACCACCCACACCTCTGACTTCACTCTGGGGATATACCCTGGGAAGTCTAAACTAAGCATGGTAATCTTATACTCCTTGTTAGTGACCAGAACTAGAACTAGGTCAAGAGCAGTTGGCAGAAGGGATTAGTTTACAAATGTCATGTGACTTAAGTCAGGTCAATGATACTGTGAGGTAAAGGTTTCTGGAACTGCTGGGGGAACATTTCTCTTTTGAAAATGTCAGTGAGGAGCCATGTAGCCCATAGTTCCACTATCCACCACCCATGATCCTATCCAAAAAGAATCAGCCTGAGGAGGAAGCTGACCTGGAGGGCAGAATGGAGAGGAAAGAACCCGGATCACAGAGGACACGGTTGACTGGATCACACAACCTTGAAACCCACCTTATAGCTGGATTTCCAGTTTTGTGAGACAGTAAGTTTCCATACTGTTTAAGGCACTTCGAATTGGGTTTTTTGTTTCTTATAATTGAAAGCAAATTAATGGATGCAAAGAGGAAGGCTGGTCCCCTGTGGAAAGAGTCATGAAATTCCTGCTGGCTGGGTACCTTCTTAGAGTGGGTTTGAAAAGGCCCAATTATGATTCCTGTTCCTGGATTTATGTAAGATGCCTGGCTCGTCTATAGCCCCCTGCATCCATACCTCGGATGGCCTCTTGTACCTGAAAGGATGTAACTAAAATGAGAAAGCATTCAGCTCATGGAGCACTTGACCCATATGAACTTCACAACCCCTACATGTTCATATTAACTTTGTTTCTAAGGGATTTAAGGCTGCTCTCAGTAAATTCTAGTGCCTTCTCTCTACAGATGTCCAGTGAATCTCAAGAATCTTTGGAGAAACAAGTTCTTTGGAATCAAAGTGTTTAAGAAAAGCAGAGACTTCCAGGGATATCTCTTTCAGATCTCAGTTCTTCCCTGAAACTCTCTCCTCTCATCCCTACTCTACAGGAGCCGGCATGTCAATGATCAGTGCCAAGTTGCTCTGGACCTTTGAGAGAAAGGCTCCATTTAAATTCAGCAAAACCTCTTTCATTCAGAGTCCTTGTAGAGAAGCACAGTGTAAATCAGTGAAAAGCCTAAATTAGATAATTTTTAAAAGAACAGTAGCTTCATTATTTTCAAGTACACCGAGTAACTCCATCTCAGCCATGAAGTGTTCCTTTGTAGAAGCCCTTAGAGACTTTTCCTTAATGAATGGATTATAATTATTGGTAATCAGCATAACAGTTCTCTGCACTACGTGCTTCCAAAGGAGTTGAGCATATTAAGTGATTTTGATGTTCCAGAGGGCAGTTTTATTTACAACATTCATCTGCTCAGTGTATACCCTTTATAGCTGTAACCCTCTGCTGTTTAAAAAAAAAAAAAAGAAAAGAAAAATTCTGAAGACTCCATCACACGACATTTGATTATCAGAAGCAGAAATAGTGCAGGAGGAGAGAGATACATAGTAGGACTTGTTCTTTACCCGTGGTGTCCCGACAGAACTGCAGGAACAGCTCAGGCTTGCGAGTGGGGCCAGGTGCAAACCCTGGGCTTCATAAAATAACTTGACTGAGTTCCAGTTTTTCTGTAAAATGGGCTGATGTTTACTTTGCAGGGCTGATGTGAGCACTAAATGAGTATTAATTAAAGCTCTAAATACAGTAAGTACTTAATAAATGCTAGCTGCCTTTCTCTAGATTTCTTGGTCTGTGTGGGAGGCTCCTGCCTCTTTCATGTTAGAGAGACTATACTCAGCCCCGATGGTGCCTCTTCGTTCCTTGCTGATCGAGAAGCATGAGCTTGCCCCTTCTCCAGGCCCAACCCTTGCACAGGAGACCAGGGGCTTTTGAGGTGGTGCCCTTCTACTGCCACAGCCTCTGTCCCCGGCAGAGCCATGTCTGAGAAGACCAGAACATTCCTGACCTTCTTTGCACCAAGGAGCCTTATTTGCTGAGAGTTTGTTGTTGTTGATTGTGAACATGTATTAAGCATTTACTGTGGGGCCAGAAGCTAGGTAAGTACCTTGTATTGGAAGGTGTTCCTTTATTTCATCAATTTGGGGATGCATTTTTCAGGATTGGAGTGTATCTAATATCAGTGTCTTATCAGTGATGCTAGACAGTGACTGTGACGTCACTCCTCTTGTCACATGTTCATGTGACACACTTGTCATC